TATTTTTGACGAAGCACTTCACAGAAGGCTGCTGGCGCCAGTGGTCAGCCAAAACAGCGGATACGACTAGTGGGCAACTAGTAGTATACACTACACTGATGTCTAGCTTGTGTCGATATTAGCTGGTGTGAAATACTGTAGTGCGGACCAAAGGACCCATTACACAGCGTTGCTTTTCAACACGACTATTTTTATCCTATTTCTTCATCTGATCCAATTTTCTTTGAATAATGTCATTAAACTCTAAATAGTGAATTGCCGCTGCTTTTTGACAATGTTACCTGTAGTATACAACTTTACAACGTGCGCTGCGTATCTTATTTTACATTTCTTTGTTGTTTTCGCCGAACGAGAAGACTGCCTTGCACCAAATTTTACTTCGATTTTTATTTTTAGACTTGGATTAAAGCATTTTTACTGATTAACTAAAGTTCTTACCTAAGTAGTAGTACTAGTAGTAGTTAACCCACCTTACCCTGAGTGATACCTGTTTTTACCTAAATAGTAGTACTAGTAGTAGTTAACCCACCTTACCCTGAGTGATACCTGTTTTTACCTAAATAGTAGTACTAGTAGTAGTTAACCCACCTTACCCTGAGTGATACCTGTTCTTACCTAAGTATAGATAAGGTAAGTAAACTCTGCCCTGCTACTAAAGTAAGTAAAGTTGCCTTTAACACGACTAAATCCTCCACTTCGAAACTCGCTATTATTTAACGGTCCCTATAGTTATTATAGGCCTTGTATAGGTAGGTGTTGTATAGTTACTAGCAGGAACCCGTCTAATCCTATAGTTATTACTACTTACACTTGAAGGAGTTTCTGCAAATAGACAATTGAAAACCTTTTTTTTGCTCTATAGAATCTAAGTCGTTTATGATTCTATTCTTCAGATGGTGCGGTCTTTTTAGTTCTTGACTTGTATCATTATTCATTAATGTACGAATTTATGAATTTACTTATTTAAGCTTTTATTTTTAAGGACTGCCAGTACAGCATGATATAATAGTAGGTTTAAAAAATAACTCAGCATTAATACCGTGTACATTATCGAGTATTTATTTAGATTAGCAAGGTAATTAGCTAATTAGCAAGGTAATTAGCAAGGTAATTAGCTAATTAGGTAATTAGTTTTACTGTCATTGATTTGTATTCGACAAGTCCACATATTTTTGAGAAAGTAATTATATTTCTTGGAATTTGTACCCCTAGTCGTACAAGTAAGAAATTTGAAGGGTTTGAATTTGATTTGTTCCTTTTATTCTAAAATATCATCATCAAGAGGATAAGAATTGAAAATAGAGTAATGGTTATTTCGTTTTTGGGTGTCCCCATTTTCATGTCTGTGAACTTTGGTATCCTTGAAGTTGGTTAAGGTATAATTACCCAAACCAACAGTATATTTGAAGATGACTAATTTTGTAATATTATATCAGTACCTTTAGTTGTTTGAGATTGAGTCATATTATCTTCATGCATACGGTATATGTCGTTAAAAAAAGCGTCTATTTCGAGTTTGGGGAACGAGTGTTAAGACAAACTATTTATACCAGTGATTCCAAATACTAATTAAACGTCTCTGATGGCCCCTGTTTCCTCCAGAATAAGGGAGAACGGGCCGACAAGTTTGACAAGTATGACCCTCTGTGATCTTTGCTTCTCTTTGCTCCAAAGTCTGGCTATGAGACAAAGGCCCGTTTGGTAGGCGGCAAATGAAAAATCACACGATCCCCTTACTTTTGAACTGTTATCAAATTTAAAGTCTACTGAAGTCTAGTGATGACTAGTTAACACTAGTAGGCTAGTGGAGAATCTTTGATCGGCGTTTTATTGAAGATACAGATTGCTCTAACCTACATAATTATACATAATTATACATAATTATACTGCATTATATAATGAGCTCGTAGTAGAAAGACTGCTGCTCCATTGATCACTAAAGGGAGGGAGTTAGTAGTAACGCTCCTGAGATGCAAATAGGGCTAGTTAGTTTTGATAAAAGGAGAAAACAATTACTTTGAGGCGTTCAGGTGACCTGAGGATTAAGATTCAGTTATAAGTGAAAGTAACATAACACACATAACGCCGGTACGCACAGAGATTATATTTCTTGAACTTATCCCGAATTAGTGGATAACAAGCTGAAGTGCGAAGGGTTATTTGTGTGGCGTTTTTTATACTTTTATAACATAGAGTTTATAAACTCCTCCGGGATATATATATGGGTAAACTAGACCTGCAGAAGCCAGGGGAACGGCCCATAGCAGGGTAACCAGGATGGCCCGGTTCCCAAAAACCTGATTAACTAGCAAAGATAAAAAATAACAATAGGTAATAAATAGATACCAATACTATACCGATATAAGATGCATAGTTCAGAAAGATCAAACCGGGATGTTCCTTCTGTTAGTCTTTTGTAAGAGTCCATGGCTGTCGTAATCTTGTCTCTATTTCTTTTCTTCTCCGTGTTGTATTAGTCTTGCTGTAACGAGGAGTTAAAGAAATGTCTAGTATGGTATACTATGGTCCTGGGAGGTATCATGTTAAAGATATAGAGGGCTGGGGAAGTCACTGAATCATGTGATTGAGAAATAAAAGGAAACTGTGTAAGTAACGTGGTTGTCCCTTCCACAATCAAGAAAGAAGAGGGGAGGGAGAGAGAGAGACACGCATTGGGTCAAGCTAGAAGTGCCGACTGTCCTGTGGACTAATGAGCCCTTAGAACTGGCTGGCTAGCAGGACCTGTTGCAAGTCTGGGAACAATCTGGGGAGGGGAGGGTGATCGTGTAAGAGGGACAATTACGAATACTAAGGCTAATATAAAAGAGACTAAGGAGGTTCTTAGAAATCTAGATACTTGGTAGCTCTAGCGATCCCCACAGTGTTACTGATAGAGAAGGTGTGATGGAAGGTATCCTCTCTGATGGTATAGTTACCAACGTAGTATTTCCTGTGTAAGGAGAATGCTGCTCCGGGATACTACTAGGATTAATTCATTTCAAAATTTGCCTTTCATTATCGTTATTTGGGATCCTATGGCAAATGGAATTGGAGAAGTAAGAAAAGTTTGAAGTTTGAAGTTACAGGCGTTCTATTTCAAAATAGTTCCTCGATCTGAACGTTGAATGAAGATGGGGCAAGAAAAACAAATCAACTGAAGTTGATCGACGTACTAAATACGACGATACGCGGCGGCTCATATTAAACTGGGCATTTATAATATAAAAATCTTACCCTAGGTGTGTTATCACATGATCGGGAGAGACAATAAGTTGAAATGTTGCCATGGTAACATGGTAGTAAGATAGCATGTCGGGAGAGAGGAAGAAGCAGCCCCTGCAGTCCAGAAAGAGTGTGAGAGATCTTCAGAACTCTCAGCGTGTCCGGGACCTCAGGAGAACATTCAGTGCAGGAGCACCTCATGAGTTAGTGCTTATTTTCCTTTTATATCAATATCATGGTAACAATTCCTTGTTGTCATGGTAACAATTCCTTATACAGTTATGTAATATGTTATCATGGTAACAATTCCTTATACAGTTATGTAATATGTTATCAAGGTAATATTACCTTGGCCTTAACAATAAACAAGCTCGAAATATCAAGACTTTTTGGCGAAAACTATCAGCAGTTGTGTTGTTCATGATTTTGTTCCAGAAAAGGTATTATTTGTCAGTTGCTATGGTAACATTAGAAAAGGTATTATTTGTTCCAGGAGTGACTGTAACCACAGAAAAGTAGGAAATCCAAAAAAAGAAACTTACAGTTACCATAGCTACAGGAGGGCTAGTTACGATCATGGGTCTGTTTCAAAATACTGTTTTTAATATGCAATAATAGCTGCATGTGTTGATGCACTGATCGTCATCGATGAGTCTATTTAAGCTTTTAAGCGGATCATACAAAAGGAAATTCGAGAATAATGGTACATTCTTCGATAACCTACGTTTAAAGCCATAAATCCATAAGATCCTATCCTGGTGTGGCAACAATGTTTTGTAAAATTCCACAACTCCGTGAACTGAGAGATTGTTGAGTCATAAAAAGTTTATATTGTCACAACTTATACCAACCAAACAGCATGAATAGATTTCCATACGATATATCCTTGCATTATCATTTCAACTTTATTATTCTGATCATCAATAAAGGAAAAATGTAAGATTAAGAAAACTTTTTTCAAAAGTATTTGATAAAAATATATAACCTTAAAGAAAATTGTTTCACCATGAAAACAGGATATGCCCGCTTAAAAATGTGTGATACCGAGTGTTCTCCTGGTTAAGAATTTGCAAACTAAAATAATACTTTGGACAATATGTCATTCTAAGCAAATAGCGAAACAGTAGTCGGGGTGGCCGTAAATATTTAGATAATTCAACCAATGAATATTCAAATCAATAAATTTTTATTATTCTTTAAGAGTTTAAGGACTGCTATTAGTTCAATATTTATTTGTTCGCCGTAATTTACAGAGTACAAAGATTCGCATTTCGCATTTCGATTTTAGCATGTTTTATCATTTATAATAATATTGCAATATTAAAACATTAATTTTTATTCGAAATGGAATGTTTTACCAAGAAATACTCAAAAAAACAGTTTATCCCTATCATTAAAGCTGATGATCGAGAGGACAATCATTACGTAATCATAAACAGAGGGCCATTCACATTTTTCGTTGCACAAATTTGTGGGAACTAAGGTATGTTTAAAGCTGTTAGTTACGGAATTACTCATACCCTCCCTCAAACAGAGCGGCGACCAGAGTGAAGAGCAGCGAGACCAGGTAACCAGGTAACCAGGTAACCAGGTAACCAGGTAACCAGGTAACCAGGTAACCAGGTAACCAGGTAACCAGGTAACCAGGTAACCGATACCCTCCCTCAAACAGAGCGGCGACCAGAGTGAAGAGCAGCGAGACCAGGTAACCAGGTAACCAGGTAACCAGGTAACCAGGTAACCAGGTAACCAGGTAACTGATACCCTCCCTCAAACAGAGCGGCGACCAGAGTGAAGAGCAGCGAGACCCCAACTCCTGATGATGTGTTAGAGGAACTCGCAAAACACAAACAGCTCAGCGCTAGTGATTCTCAGATAGAGGTACCTGACATACGTATATAACCTGGTAACTAGGTAGTAACCTAGTAACTACCTAGTAACCTAGCAACTCAGCGCTAGTGACTCTCAGATAGAGGTACCTGACATATATATATAACCTGGTAACTAGGTAGTAACCTAGTAAGTACATAGTAACCTAGCAACTCAGCGCTAGTGACTCTCAGATAGAGGTACCTGACATATATACGTATATAACCTGGTAACTAGGTAGTAACCTAGTAACTAAATAGTAACCTAGCAACTCAGCGCTAGTGACTCTCAGATAGAGGTACCTGACATATATATATATTTTTTTTTTATATTTTTTTAAAAATTTTTTATATATATAACCTGGTAACTAGGTAGTAACCTAGTAACCTAGTGACAATACTACAGCTGTCCAATAAAACCGTAAAAGGCTGTGGTGTGTTATATTTAATATTTATGTTGTTAGTTTTTTCAATCTCGCAGTCTCTGACGACAGGTTTCTCAACAATCCCCTCTATTCTGTAGCCATGGTAGCCATATTCAACTAAACTTCCCCATTAAATTCAATAAACCTGTGAACGTCAACATTCCGGATTCTCCTTCGGCTAGTATTTTAACGGCCAAACGGGTCTTTGGCGAAGCAATTATCGTAGTCGCCCATATTACTAAGAATAACATTTTAGGTAGAATAAAAACTGAAAGTCCCGATGATTTACAAAAATGAGGGGATTTGTAAAAATCGTTTTTTTGATTTTTTTCGCCACGGAATCTCAATATCCCAGCGCAGTTATAAGTTTTCAAAATTCGGTGGTAAAAATGCCAACATGTTTTATCAGGCCACAACAGGATAATCGCTTTGGCAGCTGATACGATTGGTAATGGGAGATTGGGAACCAATTGAATTAAATTTAATACTTGTACTTAACTTTTTGTTTGTATTCAGATCACAATAATCACGTAAAAGGTCTCGCACTTTCTAGAAAATATATTATTGAGCATTCTATATCTTTCAAGAAGCCCTCTATGAAGGTTTCAACCACCATATAAATATATATCCCTTCCCTTATCTAATTATCATATAAATATGTAATTAGATAAGGATAATCCACTCAAACGCTGTAACTGTTATCATGTGAGAATAATCTGTCCGCTTCCTACCCCGGCCCTGGACCGAGTCCAGCAAGTTGTAAACATTTAGTGATTTAATCAGAGTGTTATAATTGTACTTTTTAACGCTTAACAGCTTGTTAAACCTCACAACCAAAACAATCCCGGCTTTTAAGAAAACCGATCTTCTTTAAACAAAATCATCTGCTGATTCACAAATCCAAATTCTTTCCGTTTTTAGTATGCAACTTACTTTTTAAAAAGTTGACTGAATAACAAAAAAGATAAAGAATTAACGTGTTCCTAAAAAGTATATAATACAGATTGCTTACTTGAACTGCTAACCGTTAGGTCACGTTAAATAACACAACTAGAAACGTAGTAACCAGACAGTAACCAGACAGTAACCAGACAGTTACTCAGTAACCAGACAGTAACTCAGTAACCAGCTTAGTAACCAGATAGTAACTCAGTAACCAGCTTAGTAACCAGATAGTAACTCAGTAACCAGCTTAATAACCAGTCAGTAACTCAGTAACCAGCTTAATAACCAGATAGTAACTTATTAACAATTAATAATACAGGTAGACGGCAGACGCGATGAACGTGGCTCGAGTAAGAAAGGTCGAAAAGGAAAAAGTCTGCGGAGCACGTACAAGAAACTCAAAGAGGAGGTTTGTATTAAGTTATAGTTAACCTGGTAACTAGCTAGTAACATAGTACATAGTAACCTGGTAACTAGCTAGTAACCTAGTAACTAGCTAGTAACCTAACAGCAAGCTAGTAACCTAGTAATTAGCTAGTAACCTACTACATAGTAACCTAGTAACTAGCTAATAACCTAGTAATCTAGTAACTAGCTAGTAACCTAGTAACCAGCTAGTTACCTAGTAAACAGTTAGTTACCTAGTAACCAGTAAGTACCTAAGTACCTAATAACTATACAAAAGGGTCAACAAAGTTCCATGTTACCGGCTAACTTAGACTTGAGACTATTTCGTTACCTAGCCACCACCCAGTAACCTAGCCACCACCCAGTAACCTAGCCACCACCCAGTAACCTAGCCACCACCCAGTAACCTAGCCACCACCCAGTAACCTAGCCACCACCCAGTAACCTAGCCACCACCCAGTAACCTAGCCACCACCCAGTAACCTAGCCACCACCCAGTAACCTAGCCACCACCCAGTAACCTAGCCACCACCCAGTAACCTAGCCACCACCCAGTAACCTAGCCACCACCCAGTAACCTAGCCACCACCCAGTAACCTAGCCACCACCCAGTAACCTATCCACCACACAGTAACCTAGCCACCACCCAGTAACCTAGCCACCACCCAGTAACCTAGCCACCACCCAGTAACCTAGCCACCGTTAGTAAGTCATTTTGTAGAATATCTCTAGTTGTAGGTACTAGTAATGCAGTTACCCTGGAGGTAGAACGTAGGAACCTCGCTTCTTAAATAGTAACTTAAGAGCCATTCACGGAGTCATGGCAACCGGATAGTATCCAGTAAGACTGAAATCAAGGATTTGAAATATGTAGGTAGCCCGAATATTCAACAGGTTCAGCCTTATGTTACTAGCTAGTTATATGCAGGTACCTTATGCTGGAGCCTTATGTTACTAGTTGTATGGAGGAGACGTTAAAAGAACGCGCTGTTCTGCATGATGAATTAATATTACGCTCTCAGAACACCGCGGACACTTCTAGAGTTCTAGAACAAAGCGCCCTCTCTCTCACGTCTACTACTCACTGTCAAATAATTGCTCTGTCCTAAGCTGCTCAGTGCTCTTATCCCCTCTTTACCGTCCGTCCTGTGTCTTTTTCCTTGTTTAATATGTAATATCTTTTATTTATTATTTGTTTAATATTTAAAAAACATATTGCTTTAAATATATTGCTTCTTATATTATCATTATATTTCACTACTCCCGCTACTAGTATCACGCTGCAGTAGTTTAGAGACCAATATAATAACGTTTGTTAGATTACATCAAGCATTAAACGTATAATCAAAGCCAATATTTACTATCAATCCATACGACACGAATTTTAATTTGTTCGATATTGCAATGGCTACGTATTAATTTTATTGATTTTTCACTTTTAGGACTTCTGCGAATTATTAGATTATAAGGTTTGGAATCAGGTGTGTTAGTACTAGGTACTACTAGTAGTGTGTGTGTGTTAGTACTAGGTACTACTAGTAGTGTGTGTGTGTTGCAGTTTTTACATTGTTTGAAAAATGCCTAGAAATCCACAGATTTAATTATTCGTTACTACTATACAGTTTATTAAAAAAGCAGTTTAAATCAATTAACATGGAATTAAGCGTTTGCATGGCCCTTGCCGCAATGAAAATTAACATCAGCAGATTCTACTATCTACCAGTAGTAATACCTACTAGTAGTACCTACTAGTAGTACTTACTAGTAGAACCTAGTAGTAGTATCTACTATCTACTAGTAGATATCTCACTTATACGGTAACACAATCTACTATGTTCTAGATACTCATACCATAATAATATGTCGCAATCGTAAAAGGAGGATGTCGTGTTTATGACAAATATATACAGCATATATATGATAGTAGTAGTACTAGTACTTACTAGTAGTATCCATAGCAACAAAGCGAATAAATTCAGGGTATTTTAAGCCGCCAAGATACGAAAGCCTTACTTCGTGGCGACTCAGCAACTGGCTGCGGTAGAAAGTAAAAAAGTATGAACATTAAAAACAGTAAATTTAGAGTTATATAAATATAATTTATAGCTAATATTTTAAATACTGTTAAAAGTTGGACGCTTTGATAAACTGATAAAGTACTACTAGTAATATTAATAGTAATAAGCTAATTATTTATATAACACAACTTATTATTACTTTATTGCTCAGCAAGTGATGTAGTACAACTGCTCAGCTTATTACATGTGATGATGTTTCCGGGCTGCCTAAATTTATTATCACACTTCTTCCAACAAGGTCCCGACACAAAATAAAGAATTTAGTTTATCACACTTTTATTAATATAGTCTCACGAAGCACTGCGTAGTTACTATTTTATTATTTTATTGCTGTTATTTATTCGTGCTCGGTTCTTAATTCGTTGTATCACGACTATCAAAACTCTTCGGTTCCAGAATTCTTCGATAGTTTTAATTCGTTATATCAGATTTGGCACCTTATTTGTCGATATTAAATATTTTGTATTAAAGAGCTGCAGCCCCCCTGGCTACGTGCCAGCATTTTATGTATTAAAGAGCTGCAGCCCCCCTGGCTACGTGCCAGCATTTTAAACACGCGCAGTACAGATCCAAGAGAAATAACATGTATTTATTTTTTTAAATGCACAAAATACGGTTTTCTAAACTTCGGTGTAGCTTCTATACTTTGGTGAAGCTGTTCTAAGTCAACATAAATCAACAATTATAAAGATTTTCTTTAAAATTGGTTAAGCGGTTGAATCATGGGATGAAATTTTAAAAATCTCGAACATTTATTTAACATTTAAGTATTTGCACGGGTATATTCATGAAATACGCCGAATAAGCGATATATCGTGAGAATAGATTTAAGAAAGGGTTATTCCCAAAAAGTTTAGAATAAATCTGACGAACTGAAAATCTAATTCTATAATGTGTAACCTTAGTAACCAGAATTAGGACCATGTGTATTGCTAAATGTGTAGGGACGGTTTCCGTTATACCAGCAGAGCATCAACCTCGCTCCAACTCCTGCTCACCCTCATTCCATGTTCCTTTCGTACCTGTAAGTATCCTAGTAAACTGCTAGTATCCTAGTAACCTGCTAGTATCCTAGTAACCTGATAGTATCCTAGTAACCTGCTAATATCCTAGTAACCTGCTAGTATCCTAGTAACCTGATAGTATCCTAGTAACCACCTAATATCCTAGTAACCTGCTAGTATCCTAGTAACCTGTAAGTAACCTAGTAACCTGCAGGTATCCTAGTAACCTGCAAGTATCCTAGTAACCTGCAAGTATCCTAGTAACCTGCTAATATCCTAGTAACCTGCAAGTATCCTAGTAACCTGCAAGTATCCTAGTAACATGCAAGTATCCTAGAAACCTGCAAGTATCCTAGTAACCTGCTAGTATCCTAGTAACCTGCAAGTATCCTAGTAACCTGCTAGTATCCTAATAACCTGCAAGTATCCTAGTAACCTGCAAGTATCCTAGTAACCTGTTAATATCCTAGTAACCTGATAATAACCTGCTAGTAACCAGATAGTAACCAGATAGTAACCGAGTAAAAACCTAGTAACTAACTTTGTCCCCCCTGTCAGGTATTTACTCCAGTGATGGAGAGAGCAAGACGCGTATCTAGGACCATGTCCCGACCGTTTGCGGAGGAGTGGGGGTCTGATGAAGATGAGGAGGAGGAGGATGATGCGGACCCGTTTCTCTCTTTTCTCGGTTACTATTAGTAATTACTAGTTATTAATAGTGTTTCGCTTGGTTTTGTTTTTACAACCAGCTGAATTACTCAAACTATTAGAGCTGAAACTAACAGTATAAGTATTAATATTGGCTGGTCGGTGGTCTCAATAGTAATGTTGCTATTGATCTTCAAACTAAAATACTTAATACCTTCCCGGAAGTAGCTATAATACTTAATACTTTGAAACAAGTCCTGCTCATAAGAAAATCAAGCTTTCTGTGTTTCAGAGTCAGCAGTATCCTAGCAACCTGAAGAAGAACTCGCTGTATTCCACCGACTCTGAAGAAGCTGTCAGTAAAAGGTAAGCGCGTTTCCATGGTTACCATACTGTGCCTCTCTATAGTTAAAATATTGAGGTTTCGCTGTACTTACCCTCGATAAATTATGAGAACTATTTGTCATATTGTTGGGATTGTTGAAGCAGTGCTAACGAACACTAAAATACTCAGTACCCCCGGCCCCCCCCTGTAGGTATTAATACTTAGTACCCCCCTGTAGGTATTAATACTCAGTACCCCCCCTGTATGTATTAATACTCAGTACCCCCCCCCCCCCCCCCTGTATGTATTATTACTCAGTACCCCCCCCCTGTATGTATTAATACTCAGTACCCCCCCCTGTAGGTATTAATACTCAGTACCCCCCCCCCCCCCCCCCCTGTATGTATTATTACTCAGTACCCCCCCCCCCCCCCCCTGTATGTATTAATACTCAGTACCCCGCCCCCCCACTGTAGGTATTAATATTCAGTACCCCAGCCCCCCCCCCTTGTATGTATTATTACTCAGTACCCCCCTCCCCCCTCTGTATGTATTATTCTCTCAACTGACCTGTACTCCAGACCCCCTCTATCCAGGAACCTAAGCGAAGAGAAAAGAAGTGATAGTCGGGGGAGAAGAAAGAGCGCAGCTGGGTTCCTGATGTCGTACGCTTCTCTGAAACTACACCAAATAAAACACGCCGGGTCCACTGAATCTCTTACTGACTGGGAGTATTGTGACGTGAGTTTTACTGAAGTTATTACTATTACTAATTACTGAGAATTATATTAGTTATTGATAATTATATTACTATTATTAATTACTGAGAATTATATTAGATATTAATAATTATATTATTATTATCAATTACTCAGAATTATATTAGTTATTAATGATTATATTATTATTATTAATTACTGAGAATTATATTAGTTATCAATGATTATATTATTATTACTAATTACTGAGAATCATATTAGTTATTAATGATTATATTATTATTACTAATTACTGAGAATTATATTAGTTATTAATAATTATATTACTATTACTAATTACTGAGACGTATATTAGTTATTAATAATTATATTATTATTACTAATTACTGAGAATCATATTAGTTAATAATGATTATATTATTATTATCAATTACTGAGAATTATATTAGTTATTAATGATTATATTATTATTATTAATTGCAGAGAATTATATTAGTTTTTAATGATTATATTACTATTATTAATTGCAGATGATTATATTAGTTATTAGGCATGGTATGGTGAAAAATGTCAGCCCTGTGACCCCCCCCCCACCTGTACCAGAACTAACACAATATAGCTACACAAGCTAGTGTACCTAGTGTACCTACTAGTATCTTATCTTTATGGCATCTGCAAAAGTCGACATGGTGTTCATTCTGCTATTCTGGCTAAAAGCGATACAGAAATAAACTTTTTATAAAAAGAAGTCAAACGTTCTCTGACGCCGCTTGAAAAGTTTCTCACAACGAACACCTTAACAACACCTTAACAACACCTTAACAACACCTTAACAACACCTTAACAACACCTTAACAACACCTTAACAACACCTTGACAACACCTTAACAACACCTTAGCAACACCTTAACAACACCTTAACAACACCTTAACAACACCTTAACAACACCTTAACAACACCTTAACAACACCTTAACAACACCTTAACAACACCTTGTTGTACCTAGTGTTCCTTGTTCGTTACTCTAGCGCATTCTTAGCAGGGAGTAGCATTCTATGAAAGTACAATATATAGGCTTTTCTATTTTTGTTCTAAATTCACAATCTTGGTTCAAAATTTGGCGAGTCAAATTGACGATGAGTAGACTAAAGTAGACTGAAGTAGACTGCAGTAGACTGCAGACAAGTTGCAGTGTTTTTAATAACCCACCTCGTTTGTTAAAGACTAGCAGCTTGTAGTGTTAAACTGTCTGGTTGAGCTGACAACAGTACAGTTACTATGACAACAGTACAGTTACTATAAAGTGTCGTAAGGGAGGCTCAGTAGCACGCATATTGAGACTAAAAACCCGTCACCACAGATAAAGAAGAGGTAAAGTAAGTAGTCGTAACGATAAAGCAGGCATCATCAGGATATTCTCCTGTCAGGATCACGGTTTAACACCTGCTACCTGTGAAACAGTAAAAACAAGGCAAACTCTTTTGTCTCAGACCTTATAACTATTGTATAACCTTTTGTCCTACCTCTTGTATCTTTCTAGTTAAAGTTAGTTAGTTTCATTCAACTCTTTCTTGTTAATGTTAGTTAGTATCACTCAACTCTTTCTAGTTAATGTTAGTTAGTATCACTCAACTCTTCCTAGTTAATGTTAGTTAGTTTCACTCAACTCTTTCTAGTTAATGTTAGTTAGTATCACTCAACTCTTTCTAGTTAATGTTAGTTAGTTTCACTCGACTCTTTCTAGTTAATGTTAGTTAGTTTCACTCAACTCTTTCTAGTTAATGTTAGTTAGTATCACTCAACTCTTTCTAGTTAATGTTAGTTAGTATCACTCAACTCTTTCTAGTTAATGTTAGTTAGTTTCACTCAACTCTTTCTAGTTAATGTTAGTTAGTATCACTCAACTCTTTCTAGTTAATGTTAGTTAGTTTCACTCAACTCTTTCTAGTTAATGTTAGTTAGTTTCACTCAACTCTTTCTAGTTAATGTTAGTTAGTTTCACTCAACTCTTTCTAGTTAATGTTAGTTAGTTTCACTCGACTCTTTCTAGTTAAAGTTAGTTAGTTTCACTCAACTCTTTCTAGTTAATGTTAGTTAGTATCACTCAACTCTTTCTAGTTAATGTTAGTTAGTATCACTCAACTCTTCCTAGTTAATGTTAGTTAGTTTCACTCAACTCTTTCTAGTTAATGTTAGTTAGTATCACTCAACTCTTTCTAGTTAATGTTAGTTAGTTTCACTCGACTCTTTCTAGTTAATGTTAGTTAGTTTCACTCAACTCTTTCTAGTTAATGTTAGTTAGTATCACTCAACTCTTTCTAGTTAATGTTAGTTAGTATCACTCAACTCTTTCTAGTTAATGTTAGTTAGTATCACTCAACTCTTTCTAGTTAATGTTAGTTAGTATCACTCAACTCTTTCTAGTTAATGTTAGTTAGTTTCACTCAACTCTTTCTAGTTAATGTTAGTTAGTTTCACTCAACTCTTTCTAGTTAATGTTAGTTAGTATCACTCAACTCTTTCTAGTTAATGTTAGTTAGTTTCACTCAACTCTTCCTAGTTAATGTTAGTTAGTATCACTCAACTCTTTCTAGTTAATGTTAGTTAGTATCACTCAACTCTTTCTAGTTAATGTTAGTTAGTTTCACTCGACTCTTTCTAGTTAATGTTAGTTAGTATCACTCAACTCTTTCTAGTTAATGTTAGTTAGTATCACTCAACTCTTTCTAGTTAATGTTAGTTAGTATCACTCAACTCTTCTAGTTAATGTTAGTTAGTTTCACTCGACTCTTCCTAGTTAATGTTAGTTAGTATCACTCAACTCTTTCTAGTTAATGTTAGTTATAGTATCACTCAACTCTTCCTAGTTAATGTTAGTTAGTATCACTCAACTCTTCCTAGTTAATGTTAGTTAGTTTCACTCAACTCTTTCTAGTTAATGTTAGTTAGTATCACTCAACTCTTTCTAGTTAATGTTAGTTAGTATCACTCAACTCTTCTAGTTAATGTTAGTTAGTTTCACTCGACTCTTCTAGTTAATGTTAGTTAGTATCACTCAACTCTTTCTAGTTAATGTTAGTTAGTATCACTCAACTCTTCTAGTTAATGTTAGTTAGTATCACTCAACTCTTCTAGTTAATGTTAGTTAGTTTCACTCAACTCTTTCTAGTTAATGTTAGTTAGTTTCACTCAACTCTTTCTAGTTAATGTTAGTTTGTTTCACTCAACTCCTTCTAGTTAATGTTAGTTAGTTTCACTCGACTCTTCTAGTTAATGTTAGTTAGTATCACTCAACTCTTTCTAGTTAATGTTAGTTAGTTTCACTCAACTCTTTCTAGTTAATGTTAGTTAGTATCACTCAACTCTTTCTAGTTAATGTTAGTTAGTTTCACTCAACTCTTCTAGTTAATGTTAGTTAGTTTCACTCAACTCTTTCTAGTTAATGTTAGTTAGTATCACTCAACTCTTTCTAGTTAATGTTAGTTAGTATCACTCAACTCTTTCTAGTTAATGTTAGTTAGTATCACTCAACTCTTCTAGTTAATGTTAGTTAGTTTCACTCAACTCTTTCTAGTTAATGTTAGTTAGTATCACTCAACTCTTTCTAGTTAATGTTAGTTAGTATCACTCAACTCTTTCTAGTTAATGTTAGTTAGTATCACTCAACTCTTTCTAGTTAATGTTAGTTAGTATCACTCAACTCTTTCTAGTTAATGTTAGTTAGTATCACTCAACTCTTTCTAGTTAATGTTAGTTAGTATCACTCAACTCTTTCTAGTTAATGTTAGTTAGTATCACTCAACTCTTTCTAGTTAATGTTAGTTAGTTTCACTCGACTCTCTCTAGTTAATGTTAGTTAGTATCACTCAACTCTTTCTAGTTAATGTTAGTTAGTATCACTCAACTCTTTCTAGTTAATGTTAGTTAGTATCACTCAACTCTTTCTAGTTAATGTTAGTTAGTTTCACTCAACTCTTTCTAGTTAATGTTAGTTAGTATCACTCAACTCTTTCTAGTTAATGTTAGTTAGTATCACTCGACTCTTTCTAGTTAATGTTAGTTAGTATCACTCAACTCTTCTAGTTAATGTTAGTTAGTATCACTCAACTCTTTCTAGTTAATGTTAGTTAGTTTCACTCGACTCTTTCTAGTTAATGTTAGTTAGTATCACTCAACTCTTTCTAGTTAATGTTAGTTAGTATCACTCAACTCTTTCTAGTTAATGTTAGTTAGTATCACTCAACTCTTTCTAGTTAATGTTAGTTAGTTTCACTCAACTCTTTCTAGTTAATGTTAGTTAGTATCACTCAACTCTTTCTAGTTAATGTTAGTTAGTATCACTCAACTCTTTCTAGTTAATGTTAGTTAGTATCACTCAACTCTTTCTAGTTAATGTTAGTTAGTATCACTCAACTCTTTCTAGTTAATGTTAGTTAGTATCACTCAACTCTTTCTAGTTAATGTTAGTTAGTATCACTCAACTCTTCTAGTTAATGTTAGTTAGTATCACTCAACTCTTTCTAGTTAATGTTAGTTAGTATCACTCGACTCTTTCTAGTTAATGTTAGTTAGTATCACTCAACTCTTCTAGTTAATGTTAGTTAGTTTCACTCAACTCTTTCTAGTTAATGTTAGTTAGTATCACTCAACTCTTTCTAGTTAATGTTAGTTAGTTTCACTCGACTCTTTCTAGTTAATGTTAGTTAGTTTCACTCAACTCTTTCTAGTTAATGTTAGTTAGTATCACTCAACTCTTTCTAGTTAATGTTAGTTAGTATCACTCAACTCTTTCTAGTTAATGTTAGTTAGTTTCACTCAACTCTTTCTAGTTAATGTTAGTTAGTTTCACTCAACTCTTTCTAGTTAATGTTAGTTAGTATCACTCAACTCTTCTAGTTAATGTTAGTTAGTTTCACTCGACTCTTCTAGTTAATGTTAGTTAGTATCACTCAACTCTTTCTAGTTAATGTTAGTTAGTATCACTCAACTCTTCTAGTTAATGTTAGTTAGTATCACTCAAC